CTTTAATAAAATTTTGGAGCAGCAGCAACAAATGATATTAGTAAAACTAATGCCAGCTCAAAAGAAGCCTGGGTTTTGTGACATTGTTTGAAAATTAGTAGTTAAAAAGAATTCAGTCTAATAAAAATGACTAATATTTTATAACCTGACGAATTAAGGTTTACATTCTCATTAGATGAGATGCTATGATTGTTTTTAATAGAAAGATATTTGCGAGCTAGAAAAAAAAATGGGGACCTACACTAATATTACTAGTACAAAGAAAGAAAAAAAAGAGGAAAAAATAGCAAAAAAAGACTGCTGAAATAGAAAAATTGTACATAGGGACCTGTTCACAAAAATTGCTATCAAAACCCATACTAATGTTGTAATGGGTTTTAATTTGTAATTTTTCTATTTCAATAGTTGTTTTTTGCCATTTTTCCAAAAAAATCTATCCTTAATTAGGACTCATTTTGTAGGATTGGAGAAAGAGCCTATCTCCCTCTAATCTTAACTGCAGTAGAATGTCAACATTAACGAACCAAGCGTTCATTTTCTTCCCTTGGGCGCATACAAGTTCATGTCATTTGTACTTAAAATGTTTTCCATTTCTAATTACTATAAACCATTGTCATATAATTAGCACAGGTTGATTTAAAAAAAAAACAATAATGAAATTATAGTCTCAACATCAAAGTGATAAAAAAACAAAAAGCGCAGAAAATTAAATGAATAATTAACAGGACAATTTCTCAGGATTTCATCTCAATGACCTCCTGCACGGCCTCCCATTTTCTTTTTTCTTTCTTTTTGGGAAAATGTCATCATTAAAGAAATAAAAGGTCTATTACTTAAAATAAATATAAAATGGAAAGCATTGGATTAAAAGGAAAATGCTAGATTTGCATTCATAATTAAAATGGAGATGCATATATATATATATATATATAGAAGTATTATTGACAAAAAAAAAAGTGCATAAAAGGCTTGTATCAAACGTTATGCCAGAATATGTAAGTCTGTAAAAGAAAAAGAAAGAAGATAAAAAACTCAAAGATAAGGAGCTTTGGTTCCTTTTATTTTCGTCTCTTGTAAGTATAAATAATGGTGGTTTGGGATGACTGAAGAGTCTTGCATCTACAACAGCAAGAAGAGAAAATTAAAAGGAGGCAGACAAAGACAACATGGCCAGGGTCGGATTACCACCGGGTTTTCGGTTCCATCCGACCGACGAAGAGCTTGTCAATTATTATCTCAAGAGGAAGATCAATGGCCAAGAAATTGAACTTGACATCATTCCTGAGATTGATCTCTACAAATGTGAGCCTTGGGAACTTGCAGGTTTGTTCTTCCCTCCCAAATGCCATTTACTATTCTCTCATCTTCATCATATTTCTCTGGTACCTGTGTCTATCTATACTAAATCTTAGGAGTGTACTTCCTTGCATTAACTTAACACACTGAAATTTGATTTCTTAAAATAGACTTTAGTTTTCTTTCCTACGTTGGCCTGCACTTGCACATTTTTCAGTCTTACCACGCAAGAGAAGTGCAAGTCATTATCAGAATTGAAAGCAGTGTGTGTGTGTGTATGGTGGATTCAGTGTATGCCATACATGTTGTATTGTGATGTGAAGCATAATGAAGTGAATTTGATGCATAATTTGATAATGTGTACCAAAACATAAGGAAAGATGTTGAGTTGGCTGATTTTGGTGTGACATTTTGTTGGGCATTGTGATTGATGATGAGGCAGACAAGTCATTTCTGCCAAGTAGAGATCCAGAGTGGTACTTCTTTGGACCCAGAGACAGGAAATACCCTAATGGTTTCAGAACTAACAGAGCCACTAGAGCTGGGTACTGGAAGTCCACTGGCAAAGACAGAAGGGTCACTTCCCAAAACAGACCCATTGGCATGAAGAAAACTCTTGTTTACTACAGAGGCAGAGCCCCTCAAGGCATCAGAACTGACTGGGTCATGCATGAGTATCGCCTCGATGATAAAGAATCCGAGGACACCTCCGGAATTCAGGTAAATTACCCATCTTCTCCATATCTTTGTTACCAATCAAGTTCTCTAACAAAAACATAATTAAACTTTTATGAGAAAAGCTAATCCTAGTGCTTTTATAGTAAATGTCCTAAAATGTGTAAGCCAGTTATATGTGTTCATCAATATGATGTTTCATATGGTGAATTAGGATTTAGGATTCAGTTATCTCAGTCTCATGACTTGCATGGAGATTTTTGGTGGATGGGAAAATATGAGCATGAAGGTTTTTAGTGGTGGGAGATTCCAAAAGTTCTACAAAGAGTACATTGCATAAGTCACATCTCAAAAAAGCAAATGCTTTTGTCTTCAAAACTAGTTCTTGTTGGCGTCCCCACAGGCCCCACACCTACCCTTTAACAACTTTCAGAACTTTCTTTTGCCTGTGTATCCACTTGTCGTCACCCACATATTTGACCTGAAAAAAAGGAAAAACACAAAACGCAAAAGCATGAAGTTCCATTCTTAAGACAGTCACAAAAGCATTTTCCCCTCATTATATTCACCTTCCTCTTTCACATCAAAGACAAGAAAGAAATCTATAGTTTCAGTTCCTTAGTATATATCTCCTTCACTAAACCAGGGTCACCCCAGAACAAACAGTCACAGAGAGTAAAACTTGAACTTGCAGAAAGCAATGTGCATAACTAAATGTGTAATGCCTGATGAGAACTGTAGGGAAACGTAGGATCTGCATGACATGCATGAAAAAGCCTGTCTTTTTATATAAGTCTTATTATTTCTTTCCTCTTCCTCTCTCACCTAACTTTGTATTGGAATTTGAAGTTTTAAATAAACTGAACTAGTCTTCAATAATGATGTAAATATGTCAAGAGTATTGTTACGTGAGATCTGCCTCTTAACACGTTTACGTGTATCTTCATGGATAATTTGGTACCATCCGAAAAGTCTCTCCTTTATTATTGTTTATTAGAGAAGTATAAATAAACAAATGGCTGATATATTCGTTGCTTGCTTTCCTCGAATACCTCTAACTGACAGTACCTTGTCCTTTATTGTTATTTAATGAGACAAGTAATTACTACGCATGGTATAATGATAATGCTTTTGATTAGTTTATAAGATACGTTATTTAAACCTTAAATTAGTGTAAATGAGACAAAGCTGCCTTCTTAAACTCCATATAATTTTGTCTTTATTAATTGATATCCATTCGTCTTCATGCTCTAGGATTTTAGATTCTAGCAAGGACCATTTGAAGGCTTGCGCAGCCCATAAATATCGCTGCGTCTCCATCACTTTCATTCTGTGTCGGCCACTTTTTACTTTATTCCCGAACACCAAGACAAACCAATAGACACTGCCAGAAAGGAGAGATGAAAAAGAAAAAGAAAATTCAAAGGATATTAATCAAATTATGCAAAACCTCATGATTAAGCTAGGGAGATTCAACAGCATATCAAATATAATTCTCCTTTAACCCTTTTATTAATCTTGAGAGTGTCTTAAAGCTTCTGCCCACAATCACAAGTCCAACTGCTGCAAAGTACTAAAGACACATTGACCAAGACTTGTAACTCTTTGAACGTTAGTTTCCAGCAAACATGACATATTTTCCTTTATGGGGTAACATTTTTGTATATCTGTTTCGGCCTCAATTTTTGACTACTCTGTTTGGACTTTTTCAGCATAAGCAAACAAAAACCAGCTTCAGGAAAAGATTTGAGATTGGATACACCCACAAATATTTTTCACTCTTACTCTTTCTAAGCCGTGAAGTTTGTCTAATAATACGTACAAGAGAATAACCAATGGGATAACTTATCATTTAGATCCATAAAATATGCTTGTGCCATCAGATTAGCCCCTGAAAGGAAAATGACTATTTGGTGCTTGATTTGAACGGTTAACATTATATGGATGCTTCTCAACTATATATATATGTCTTAGTTTTTAATATGATGAAGTCAGCAACCAAATTGATAAAACAATCAGGTGATCTTAGCACTTAACAACCATCTGTTTTGAAACTTTGCAGGATACTTATGCATTGTGCCGTGTGTTCAAGAAAAATGGAATCTGCTCTGAAATTGAAGAGCAAGGGCAAAGTAGTTTAACACTAATTGAGAGCTCACAAACCATAAACATTAATAATGAAAGTGAAACCATGTCTCCAGATCCAGCTGGGGCATCTTCATGCTTGGAGGAGGAAGACAAAGATGATTCATGGATGCAGTTCATTACAGATGATGCATGGTATCCTTCTAATGCAGCCATGGCAGGCTGTGAAGAAGTTTCTCACTTTACATTCACAAACTGATATGCCAATGACCATTGGCAGGCCAGATAGGTGGTGGGGAATAACACTTGAGAGCTGAATTCATAAAACAAAAGACATATATACATCTGTTTGCAAGATTCCTTCTGCTTCTTCTTTTTGTATATTAGTATATGCTTCATTGATCAAGATGGTTTGATTTTTTTTTTTTTCCTAATATTATTATAACAGTCAAGTATACCTTGGGGTTTTGGGTGACAATCTTCATTAAGGGTGGCTAAACAAAGGTTGATGGTTTGGTGTAAGATCTGGAAAATTTTTATGGATTGGTCAGGGGTGTTATTACTTATGGAATAAAGAAAAATACCAGAATATTTGTTAACCTTCTTATTGTAGTATTCTTGGTTATTTTTAAGGGTAATTTTAGTGCAAGGCAATTGAAAAAGTTTGAACATGACTTTCAAGTTCAAATTTATTTTATTTTGGCCTTCATCACCAGAACCAAATATATAGTTTCAATTAAGTATTTTTCCTTTAGATGAGATAATTAGACTACTGAATGACTGAAGAAACAAGTCAAACCTTGGAAGCTTAAAAATGTGTTTGAACTAAGAAAGAAGGAAGACAAATATGTGAGTGTGCTCACAAATTTTCCCCTCCCATTTTTATCCTTTTTTCCTGTATTCTAAATACATTCCAATAAAAATATAAATAGAATAACAAAAAATATAAGTTAGATTTTCTTTTCCTTCACCTTTTATTCCATTCTTGTTCATCTAAACAAAGTCTAAAAATAAATTTAGTCCACAAAAGAAACTTTTCAGTGAAACTTACCGTTAACACATCAACATGCTTAATTTACAACTGACTCATCAACCTATCTCATAATGCTGGGACTAAATAGGAATATTTGTGTTTTGTTGGTACTAGGACGTAATAAACAACAACAACGAGACTCAATGGAGATTCAAAAATTGCACATGCAGAGAGCCACCTCAACAATCACTTAGCTTTGCAAAGTGAAAGTTCCAGATTGAAGTAGCAAAGAGAAAATGTGGTGTAAACTCTGTTCTCTCCATATGGGAAGCACTTTGGAATTCTAATCACACCTTCCATTGCTCAAATTGCTCAGAGCTTAACATGAAAGAGCTTGCATTTCCGTGTCCCCCACCTCCAAATTCCTTATAAAAGACCAAGAAACGATATAAATTTAGATTCCTTGTTTACAAATTGCACATACAATGAAATGAGCACATAATGATTTATATAGAAGCAACCTGAGAGATGGGAGTTGTATCTTCATTGCCCAAACTCCTTAGACTTATTTTCAGCATATTATGATTTCCAATCTCTGGGACTTTATATACAACAGCTCCAATAGCCCTACAAAGGAAATGGATGCATCACAAATCTGACATCTCAACCAGATTATAAATTTGATGGAATAAGTTTTTGTCCATCAATTGCTGAGGGGAGAGTAAGAACCCTTGAAAACCTAGCAAAACAGCCTCATACTTTGCTAAACTAAGTTTATCTGTTTCTTTATAAATTCTAGGCCTCTATTTCTGGGAATCTGGAAGTTTATTTGCAAAGTGGATTCTAAACCAAGTCAAACTCCAATAAGAAAATCAGTAGTTTAATATCATGTTACCGCTGCAATCATAACATTTGAGGCACTGACTAACATACTTATATTTGAAATTTTTACTGCAAGGTTATTGTGCGCCGTTTCATCGTTTTTCTCATAACCCTTCACAGAAAAAACAGGGGAAAAAAACAACAAATACTTATACTTTACCCCCTTCTGCACAAAAGCTTGATGTATGTTATAAGTTTCAGGCCTTTTACTGTCGTGAACTTTTTTCCCCTTTTATGGAACAAGTAATTTATAAATGACCTTCATGGCAAAATAACCAGATTGACTGAGGCATGTCATAGCCAACATGCTACGACAAAAAGGATTTTCTGAGCAGAAATACAGATAATAGATGCAAAACAAAAATAATTATTGTTGGATGTTGGTTGGAGGTGAGTACCCTAAATGTTAACATTGGAATTTATATTTAATGACATGATACAAACCTCAACTTTAGATTTTGGCTCTTAGAGGCTAACTGATGTCCCAATTCACTTCTCAGCTCTGAAAGAGCAGCATCTGCATTTACAGCCTGCAAATAACACAAGCAACTATACTCTCAATCGAACCATACTTCGTAGCGCATTAAAGAACAAAGGAATATGTAAAAGCATATAACATTGTGCTCAGTAAATTAGATCAGAATCAAAGTTTGAAGCTTACAATGAGCATTGTATGTACTAATGCATCACATCCATGTCAAGTATGATGACTTAAAATGAAACAAATTGCCAATGGGTGGCTACAATCTGTTAGAAATATAACTACAAATAACCCTACTTCTCTGGACTTTTAAATAGAACTCATTAAAATTTTCCCTTAGGGTAAAGAAAAGAAAGAGAGATTCGAAGAGAAAAAATCAACAATACCAAGCACGAGCCATAAGCACCACCACCAAGTGCGATTCTGTATGACTGGCTGAGACAATCATCCATCAACTTTTGCTTGCATGATAAGCTCGCCATGCCTTGACTGATTACCGAGTCAACATTCAATGACAATAACTGTTCAAATCCAGAAAATTATCATTTATTTCAAGTATTCCCAAATTCATGGGATCAGAGTGAAAAAGTAAAAACAAATAAACTATGTCAGTACATCAGATATTGGTGCCGGTGCCAACAAGTCAAAGAGAAGGAAAATACTGGTGCCACTAATTTGTCAGTACATCAGATATTGGTGCCAGCAAGTCGAAGAGAAGGAAAATACTAGTGCCACTAATTTGTCAATAAGAGAGTAATCATATTTAAGAAATTATTACACCTAAGCAATACATCTCTCATAAATATAAAAAAAAAAATAGAAATGGCAGGACAACGGGCTTTATCTCCTTGAAGCTGCAAAAGGTCTACTGCGGAAAGTTAAACGGGTCATTTATCTTATAAAAATCATGGTTTCATTCAAACTAAGACAGTTCTTTAGTGCAACAACAACTTCTAAACATTAATAAAAAGCCAAGGTCAACAGGATTGTGTGCAAAAATATTTGATTTTAACTCTTCTGGAAAGCCAGAAGAGACTCAAGTTCTATACCATGTAGCTGTTATCACAACATTCTAACACACTTTGAAATTTCATAGTGAAAGGCTATAATAACAAGTAAGAAGAAATGTAGAAAATCACCTGGTCAAACAAGGAAGGGTTTAAACGGGCGTCAAACTCTATGTTCATGTCTTTCAAACCACTGTTGAAAGCCTTGCTGTTTTGGAGTTTCCATCTCCAAAGGTCTGCATCTTCAATGTAATCATAAAGTTGCCGGACACCCTCAAATTGCTTTAGCACCGATTGATGTTTAGCATCAGCAACTGAACTAAGAAGCTTCTTTTTAAAGTAATCAAATGCAATGGTTGCCCCACTCCTCTCCCTATCAATCACTTTAATCACATTCTTATCAGCCGAGCTCTCACTACCTAACTTCTCAAGCGCAGTCTTGTGATGGTCCAAAATAATTACTCTACATATGAGAAACCATAATAAATTGATGAAATATAAATATTATCCTCGATAAAGCATATAATGAAAGGATGACAAGAACAAAAGGGGAGGGGGAAAAAGAATTGAAACCTACGTTCCAACTTTGGCGGAGACTTCCTGAACAAATCCCGAAGGCCCCACGAAATCCAGAAGGTAAAGATCACTAATTTCATGCAGGGGAAGATCTTCAGCTCTGGTAAATTAAGCAATGGGATGAACTTTAGCCAACCCAAGATCGAGAATGAGGAGAGAAGATAACAGAAAAGAGAGGCAAGGGTCAAGCGGGGATGAACCTGAGGGGACGATAAACAGTGTTGGGAAAGAAGAGAGCAGGGAGAGAAGTAGCTTTAAAGTACAGATGAGCAGCGAGAGCAGCAAAAGCACCATCAGGGCAAGGATAATGGTACATCACCGCTGAAGATTTGGCTTTCCTAATCACAGCATCCATCTTTTTCATGTTGGCTCCGAATCTATGAGATAGCGCCGCGGTCACTGTACTTGCCATTATTAGAACTTTCAGGTGAAAATTTGCGGCCAACCCCCCCTTTTTTTTGAAAAAAAAATATAGCTCGACCAAACACTGTATAAAAGGAGGATTATAAGAAAAAAATCTGAAAATTAATTAATCTTTTCTGAAAAACAAATCTCATTTGAGATTAATAATTTTTAGGTTCTTCTTTTATCATTGTTTCTTATATAAATTTATGAACCAATTTATCAATACTCTTATTTAAATTACAAAAAATATTTTGGAATCATTATAATCTAATAAAAATTATTATTTATTTTCCTTAAGAATCTTTATAAAATATAATATTATTATCATTACATTTTAAATTATTTTATTGTAAAAAAAAATGTCGTCTCAATGCAATGACGTGGTAGGAGATACATATTAAGATTTTGTTTTTGGGACATGGTATCTTAGCTTATAAGATAACTAATTATAATATAATCAATAATTAATCAATGTAAAGTATAAAATTTATGATGAATTATAATTTTTCAAATTTTATTAGAAATAATTTTCATTGATTAGTTTGATTCTATTTTACATTTTAATTATTTATTTTATTTCTTACCAAGTGTTAAAATTGTAAGGGAAAAAAGCTATTGTAAATGTCGATAATGAAATAACGAAACTTGTTATGTAATTAGCGTTGTTTGTGCTAAAAAAATAAATTTTGGGTCATGGGCAGTAATTTTAAGTGACCTTTGGGAAATTTTGAATTTTAAAAGTCATTTTATTACATTTTCCTAAAAATTTATATACCATGCTAATCTTTCTCTATATTGTTCAGATTTTATTAAATGTTCTCAAAGTGAATCAATCAATCAATCAACAATCATCAATCAACTATATTTTTAAAAATTTGTAATACCCGATTCGTTTAAAAATAGGTTTAGTGTAATATTATTATATCCGAATATATTTAATTAATGAGATTTGAATAACATATTGATTAAAATTTGAATATATTGAATTAAATAGAAAATATTATAAATAAAGAAAATTTTAATTGGAGGCTCAAATGAAGAAATTAATAATTAATTTTGAATTTGAATAATATCCTAATTGGAATTTGGATATATTGCATTAAATGTGGAGCCTTATAGTTAAATAGTATGTCAATGAGAGACTTAAATGGAGAAATAAATAAATAAATTTAAATTTTTATCTATTCCTCCCAAATTTTGCATTCCTAATTCAAATTTTATTTGACTGAATAAAAAAATCATACTACTATAAGAAGTAAATCTTAAGCTACAGTAGATAATGCAATTTATTATAATTTTAAATCTAATCAAATATGTTAAACTGTGCATCGCATGGGGGAGAAATTTCTAGTTCATTTTAAACTACTTTGTTATTTAAAAAATGCCGTCTATTAAAAAAAGATTAATTATGATCTTAAAATTAATTATAATTTTTGGACTTTCTAGACATCAATATAAGCCACGAGGTAGAGAAAGAAAATATCATACTCAGAATTTTTTTTTTGGGGCATTGTAGCTTATAAAATAATTACAATGATGTTTTAATGTAACGTGTTGCTGTTGGCAGACCTTGTCATAGAACTAACCCTAAATGCTTCTCTTAAAGTTTTTTGAGGTATGATATGGAAAGGGATATATATATATATATATATATATATATATATTAAATCAGAGTGGTGATGGGTACAGTGCAGAGCAGAACTTTAGACTCACCCGTTTCGGTGATGCCAGTGAACAATTATTATTCCTTCTAGTATTGAAAAAGTTGTGATTTTAAAAGTTTGAAAGTTTAGGATTGCTTTTTAGTTCATTGTTGAAAGCAAATAAAACACTCTTTGAAAATTACTTGCATTTTGGCCATATAAGTACCGTGAGAGTTTTAAAACTAATTTTCAGACAATTTAATCATGGGTCTGTTTTGCTAAAAAAAAAAAAAATTAATCATGGGTCTAAATCTTTTAATTTTGGAGGTACAGCAGCAGCCATTAATGAATATATTTGCAAAACGGGACATGATGAAGTTTCATTGTCAGACCCAAGTTAAAACTGTGATATAACGACACATGCTATTTGACACTGGTTAATCATTCTACATTTTAAGAAAGCAGCATTTGACGGTCTATGCATATAAGTTATCATTCATGAATAATGTTCCTTTTTTTTGAAAATTTTTATATTATATTGATATATAAATTAAAAAAAGTAAGCCCAAAAAATAAGTTGAATTAAAGTGAGAATGACGACTAATAATCTTGCAGGAGAACTAATCCAAAATGATGACATTCAAATAAATTCAAATAACCAGGCAAACAATCAAATTTTTCATTCTCCCTATAAATCTAGGTATCGTATCAACTATTTGCGACAACATTAGTAAGAATTAACATCGTCTCCCTTTTCTAGTAAATACAAACTCTCCGTGTGGCTGCGAAAGAAAACACCATTTTTCCCAATGGGAGTTGTTGGATTGTATCTGTGAATCATCCCACCTCCTATTTCAAATACGTGATCACCCTTCTTCTTTACTCCAAGCATGTGAGAAGGATCTTTCTCTTCTGTTGACGATGAAACATTACAAATATTTTTCCATGATTCATAGACCCCATATTGTTCCATAATCCACATGGAGAAAATACTCCTCCGGTCTTTAATATAGGACTCAATTGTTGAGTTGGTTTTGGTCCTAAATATAAGACCCATTTCTCATATTTATCAATTTTCTCTAAATTACCCCTATAAATATTCCCACAACCATAATCAAGTAGAAGAGGGAGAGAGGTATTAAGAAAGATGATCATGGTGTTTTAGGAAAAACATGTCACATTTCTTATAATTAACTAACTTACCTAACTTCCTTAATTTAATCAAATTAGTTAAATGGGTCTTATATTAAAGATCGGAGGAGTATAAGGTTCTTCTTGACAAATTTCATTATGACATATCATCTTTTCTTGTACCACAAAAAGCGAGTCACTTGTTGTCACAATAGAATTCAAACAACCAGGAGTTGTACCAAGAGTCCCAGGAAATAATATTTGTCCAAAAACTTCATGTGTCAGATTAAAAGTGAGTATAAATTCATAACCTTCTTGCCTGTGTTTGGCAGTCCAATGAAGTACCCCATTGAATAATACGCGTGGCAAGCAAAAATGAACGAAACAAGGGATTGGTAGGACAAGACGTTTCCATGACCATGTGACATATGAGAAAACCCATGCTGAGTCCATTTGAACGGCCAACACAACCACCGGATCAAAACGATGAACAAGGTTTACAACCTTAAAGTCATTGCTATTATTGTCAAAACCAAAACCTGCTATGCAAAGCCTTTCATTCCAAGCCATTGTGAGAGGAAGCCAAACATATTTTCTAACAGTTGGATTCCAAAGAATGAATCTGAAAGGTAATTTATTAACAAGACATACTAACCCATTGCTTATACCTATCACTTTTGTGCCTTTAAGGCTATCAACGCTGGAACTCTCCATTGTGTGAAACAAATCCCATTGATCGTCATCCCAGTGCAATGAATAGGTTGTTTGGCAAGGGGGTAATGAATGGGTTTTTGTTCTGCAACATTGAGAACAAAGATATTTCCTTTTCTTTTCACAGTGACAAACTCTAAAACAGAGGACTTGACTTTTGGAATCAAAATTTCGGTCCGAGTTTCGAGATATAAAATCAGAATTAGTAATAAGTTCATTCCAATCTCTGCAAACAAAAGAGCAACGGAATAAGGTTCGAGCGTCTACTCGGACCAAAATTTCTTTAACAAGGTGAAGGGGAATAAAAGGAGTGTTGCCATTCGAAGCGGGCAGTTTTGCCTCCATGGAAGGCGTCGTGAGTTCGACAAGGTTGGAAGGAAGAGAAGGGAATATGGGATAATAACACCGAATATCGATAGTTGATGAGATTAATGGGTGTGCGGTGTTAGAATTTAAAAAGGGGTTCGACATAGGTTGGGCCGCTGGGTTATATATAGTTACTACTCCTCCCGTGTTTAATATATAACCCATTTAATTAGTTAGGTAAATTAGTTAATTATAAAAAATATGATATATTTTTTTTAAAACATTATAATTATCTTTTTTTAATATCATCACTTTCTCTTCTACTTGATTATGATTGAGGGAGTATTAATAAAGATAATTTAAAAAAAAATGATAAATAGAAGAATTAAGTCTTATATTTAAAACCAAAATCAACTCAATAATTAAATTCTATATTAAAGACTAGAGGATTTTTTTTTACCAGAATACAGATATTAAAATTCAAAATCAGCTGTATATTTTGAATAAATTTCTTATCAGGCCTTGGCCTACTTGTATATCTCGAAGATATAAATAATAAGAAAAATTCTAACTATTAATCTAACTAAAATATCAAAATTTAAATTTAGACAGATATTTTTAATCAGATCAGGAGATTGAATTAGAGATTTATATGAATTTAGTCAAAAAACCAAAATACTCTTTTATAGATATAATTGGGATTTTTTCTTTTATCTTCAAGTTTTTAATATATTCCTACAAACATAAATATATTTCTTGTGACTGAAAATTGATTCAAAATATTTTTTAGTTAAATATTAAAAATTATTTTTAAAGTCTTGGTTTACTTTTCACTATCCTATCGAATTATATAATCTCAAAAAGATTAAACATGCTTATGAAATTTAAATCAAAAAACGATTTACGCCACCACATGCCCTTTTTTATTTTACTTCTCTTCAATGAATTTTCTTCTTATTTTTTTTTCATCTTTGCACCAAATTTTATAGATGTTTTCATCCAAAAGAAAAAGTTTTCGTCAATGATCACATTTTCAATGTCTCTTCAATGTAACAGAAAAGGTTTTGTTTTTGTTTAAATTGCACAAAATATTTTGATTTGTTGAGATTATATCCTACTAATTGTTTATGAGATTAACGAAAATTTATTAAATATTTTAATTTAATTTTTAATAATAAATATTATGAATCAAATTTTTGGTTAGGAAAAAGTTAAT